TTACTCCAACAAATTTACACAATTTTAAATGGAATCATCGTGCATTCACGGATCCGACAATTTCCCGTTAATTATACCTATCTAAAAGCTGTACCAACACATTCAGAAACACTCTTCGCAACTCGTCCGTCCTGTTCACTGAACGAAAACGAGGGGAAATCCCCGAGGGAGCTTTGATTAAAGTCAAGGTTCCAACCGTTCCTTTGACGAAGACAAACTTTCCACGACCGAACGAACAGTGACAGAAGGAGAGAATATTTCGGATCTCTCGGTAACCTCGCGGCTACCTTTTTTCTGTTCTCTCTTTTTACGCAAGCAACGAAAAGGAGAAAGGGAGAAGAACTTACCGTAGAACCAGCACTGTTTCTCGCCGAAACGAGGCCTGAGGAACGTGTACTGCGGCTGAGGCGGAAGATGATCCAGAAGGGCGGCGAGGCCAGCGACCAGAAGGGGGCCACCCCAAGCGTAGAAGGCGTACACTCGCAGTCGGAGGGTCTCTTGGCCCTTCTCCAAGCTAGCTGGTCTCAGGTCTCTGGAAGAAAAGGAAGCAGCACGGTCAGCGGGGGCGCGGAAACCACGAAACACGAGATCGTTCTGTGCACTTAAACGGAACGCGGGCAATAAAACACTCGGGCAATCCCGCGCTCGAGTTTCGCGGGCAGAGCGCGGAGGTGGGGATGGCGGCTCCATTAGAACTGGCGGAAATAAAGGCTCTTTCGGGAAGACTGATGACCGGCGTTTTGCGTAAGCAACGTAAGAACGGAGGGAAATGAATGATAAATTGTTCGGCGTTTCTAAATCCATTAACTCGGTGTTAGTGTGACGGTCGCAGGTGAAATAGTTTTTATGCCGTCACAACTTCGGGACGGGAAGGTATTTAAAGTAGCGCAGTATAATCAGTTAGACTGCAACTTTTCGTCACTTTCAATCCACTGTCGGTCAAGCTGAAAACTAGGAATCGAAATGAAATAAAGTTCGTTCCTGTCTACTGCACTATACACCGACAGAAAGAAAACTATCATCGAAGTAGATTCGTCTCTACAAAGGGTCCCGGCAAAGGTAATCTACATGCGTTTCAACGAGCACCGACAGGCCTTTTCCTACGTAGCCAGCAACGGAAGGGTGAAAAAAACACCAGCAACTCCGTCAAGTACTCTCTTGAGCAGGGTGCGACGAGGAAACAATTACCTCCGATGCAATTAATGCACTGCCCTTATTCACAACCATCCAACTCGTAGTAGACAGAGGCTTTTTTTCACCCCCTCGCGAACGGCCTGTTTGTTGCACCCGGAAACTTTCTCGGCCATTAGCATCGGCTAACAGTGACCATGTGTCCTCGGGTGTTATTTCGCGATTCCACCGGAGCAGAGTTCTCCGGGCTCGGTTCGACTCAACTTTCGTGGATCGACGGTTGCTCACGCTAAACACCAGTCGTCGACGATTGCAAAACTGTGCGAGGTTACACAACGATCGTTGAAAGCTTGCATAAACTCGCAGCCATGCCGGAGCCGCCGGCCCCCGAAAGCGCTCCGCGAGATGAAACGCAATAAGGAGAAGAGAGCAGAGCGGTTGGCAATGGTCCAGGGAAAAATGAAAGTCGACGGGATGATGAGGCGCGCAATAAAACGGATGTCGACCGGTAGTACAGGATTCGCGCGAGTTGCTCGTTTGCACGTCCACCGTGTCCTCTGGTACCCTCTCGTACGGATATGGTCAACGAATTCGCCACGAATAACGATCTAATTAACCGTGACGAGTGGACATACACGAGTGAAACAGATAGAGAGAGAGAGGGGGGAGTGAAAAAGTGACTGGATCAGCAGTGGAACCGTGTCCAACCGGGCTATCAACGTTCTAAATTTTTAACGGACGCGTGTCCGACAGCAGAGGTCTCTCCTCCCGTTAGACCAGTAGTTAATCGCTTCTCACGGAAACAACAACGGTACACGCGAGTTTTTCTCCGACGGTTTTTGCCCAGCTTCTGTATGAAGAGGGACAGCAGCAGTCTCTCGACGTGCTCCTCGACGAGACGTAACGGGAATCGAGTTTAAGAGCCGTGAAAGGGAAGCGGAAGTGTTGGTCGTTGATGACCATTTGCGAAGATCGTACGACACTTGTAATTAAACCTGCTGCTTCTAGTGTGTACGAGGAATTATTATTTAATTAAAGGATAGAAAAAAATAGACGCGTAAGTATTATTGCTGATAACGTTATGTCGTAAGAGGAAGCACCGTGGAACAGCTAATAAAGGCACAACCATAATAGAAACCACGGATTTATGGGACGAAGGGGCCAGAGGCTTATTAACGAGACGTCGGAATCATTAAATCTCGGACGCACGAGGTCGGGTATTCCGCGCAATGACTGCCGGTGTATACCTCGGCTCCGTCATTGTCTAGCTAGTTTAACGTCGCTATAACAACAATATCCCCCCCCGTACAAGCGTACTGGAAGGGGTTAGAGCCAGTGGGTTTAGCGTGCGGAGGGTTGTTACTCGTAAATCGCACCCTATCTGAAGCGACGTTACGCCGGATATGGCAAATGTCGGGTATAACGACGCGACTCCATTGTCGAAAAAGTGAAAATTCCAATAAAACAGGGAGGGAGAGACGGTTAAAATTCAGCAAGCTGGCGCCAATCGTGTGTGTATGTGCCACTTCGCCATTCCTAAATACCATTCGTCCGATCGGAACAGCTTCTCTATCAGTTGTAGAAGCGACTTAATTAACTCCTCCCCCCCCATCGGTAGCTCGTTAATGGAAACGTAATATCGACAGAGCACACCCATAATCTTAAGTCTTTCGCTAATTACCCCCACGATTTCCTTAATCTTCCAGTCGATTACACCCCGGCACAGACGTCGTAAAGTGTCCTCTGATGATAGAGAAACAGCAATGGCGTCGTCTTCACCGCGCCGTTTCACAGACTGTCTCTTGGCGATGGTACTACAAGGGGAGGAGGAGACGTTTGCGACTGGAAACGGTGTAGATATTAATTCCTGGGTGGCACAGCTCATTTCCTCGAACGCTAATTAGCCGTCACCGCGGTCGTCGCGCGCGATTAGTCGCTGTTGATCCACGTAGCGGGGAAAGTTTCGAGCGCGGGAAAAAGGAGGGTGGCTCGCGGCGCGCGACTCGTTTTAATGGCAGAACGGCGCCACGATAATTTTCCACCCCTGACCCTGTCCTCCCTCTCTCTCTCTCTCTTTCTCTGCTGCAGCTTGGAAGTGAAGCGGCGTTGGAACACGCTGCTGCCAGGGATTCGCGATAGCGTGGTAGGAGAGGGCATTAAATATTGCTGTCGAGAAAATTAGGGAGCTGTTACCGTAACATTACCCGCGTTTCTTTTATTCCTTCCGTCATGCACCATTGAAACACGCGTATGGCAAATATTTTTACGTTCCCCTCCTCGTGTGTTCTTCCTTCGGTGAAAGATTCTACATAGGTATATATCGGTGTGTCTTTGTTGCACGTTGTAGGCAATTTGCCTGAATGACGACGTCTTCCGTGACAAAGAGGATTATTGCGCCGTGTCTCCTTCGAAAGTATATAACCCCCCTATTGTAGGGAGCACGGAAGAGATAAAGGTTATTTTTGTAATAACGGATATTCGCCGGGGGGAAGGGTTTCCATTCGAGCTGGACGAACGACTTTACTCCACCTCTTTTCTCTTCCTCCTCCTCACCGTTAGAGCTCCGATGAAATATACGTATTCTATTATCGCAGCGCGAGCACACGAGACGCGACGGAGGGAACGGAGTAGCTCTCTCTCGGCTTAATCCTGACAAAGGACTCGTCGAAATAGCTTCTTTTAATTGTATCCTGTCACCGCGGCTATTTATCGTTCGTATTTGCGAACGGGGAAAAAAGGGGGAGGTACGACTGGTCGTAAAGGGCCGCGACTGTCGGCCATTAAGCCTTTGTACCTTCCTCTCTCTTTCTCTCTGTGTGTCTGTACCACGAGATTGCCTCGAGTTATTAAAAGTATTCGCGATCGTCTCGCGGATAGGTGTACACGTACGTACCGGCAAGAACTTCACCGACTGGTTGTCGACCGCGAAGACGACTTTATTTCTCCGTCCGATGAATGTTCCAGGCAAAAAGAAAAAAAAAACCATTCGCAGAATTACAAACATAACGTTTTTCCATCTGTCCGCCGCGCTCGCTACACCCGGTTGTCGACGGGTTCTTGTATCTTTCCAGAGCACGCTTGTCGCGAGGAGGATTTTCTAGGTGGACGTCGTTCACTGGTTACAGAGAGTGGGTAGAGGACGCGCAGCCGCCAGCCCTATATTTATCTGCCCGATATGGTAATTATACGGACGGCAATTAGCAGCGGTACCGGTTAGAGCCACTCTGGTTGGGACGACGGTATCGCTCCACGGCTCGTGGAGGATACGGAACGGGAAGGAGAGAGGTCGTTACACGGGAAACCACGATGGACGGGCAAGATATTATTTATTTCGTCCTGGTAAAAACAGGAGCGCTCTTTTGCCCCGAAAAACCGTCACGTTGCGGTACGAAATGTAACATTTATAAAGACGTTCTGGAAAAACGTAGTTAGAGATTTGGAAAATATAAGTATGACAAACGACACTGTTGACGCTTCATCGCTTCGCAGGGAAAATGACCGCTCTCGCTATCGTTTGCTCTATTTATACGGTCTTCGCGACTTGTTTAATAACAACGAACGTCGTTGTCACGGCCTTTCGAGTTCGTTGCCCCCGTTTTGCCTATCCGTGTCGCAGGCTTTTTTCCGAATACGATCGGCCTACAATAATAGTACCAAATTTCACTTGCAAGTATCTTTCAAAACAATATTCCTAAATTCGTCAATAGAACTACATGAAACCAAGTGACTTGGGATAAGCTCGTGTTTGACTCCTGAAACACTCTGTAAAAACTGAGAATAGCAAAATGGACGATCGAGAGAGATTCACCGTCACGAACGAGCTAATTTTATTCATCCAGAGTGTCGCGAGAGCCGAAAGGGAGCACAGAGTACCGGGAAAGAAGATCAAGAATGATAATCCGCGACGTTCTTTAGGGGGTGTGACACGGTGAATCCGACAAATGTTGCGTAGGAACGATAGTGGCCCCGAAAGTTCGTCCCCCGGGCGGAACGTATGGAAAGTGAGCGGCGCTTTATTGAAAAGTTTCGTTGAGACGCGGTTAAGTGCGAGAGAAGTTCGCGTCGTCTCTCCGCGAGAATTTCTCACTTGCGAACTACCCCAGAGAACGACACCACTCTCTCCCTCCTCCTCACTCTTACTTCCTACCCTGTCAATTTATCTATCCAGGACGGTTCTATTTGCCCGTTTATCCCCGAACGATCGATCCTCGAGCATCGACCCACCCGTCGATTTATGTAACTCCGTCCATTCGTTCTTGTCCCTTGATTTATCGCCACGTCGGAGAAATACGATCGAGATAATTGAACGGGAGGACTGAAAAACCGATTAACCGTCGGAAATAGGTGTTCTTATTGTCGCTAATTGGCAAGAGATTGCATATGTATTAACGATGTATTAGC